GTGTGTGTGTGTGTGTGTGTGTGTGTGTGTGTGTGTGTGTGTACTGTCCTTGACCTGTCTGGCTCCCACAATTCTTCCTCTACCTCTTCCACAGGATTTCCAGAGCTCTGCCTAATGTTTGGCTATGGGTCTGTGCATCTGTTTCACCAGTTACTGGATTAAGCCTCTCTGATGACAACTGGCTAGGCACCAGTCTACGAGTATAGAGGAACATCATTAGGCTACATTACATTGACCTTTTTTTTTTCTTTTTTCTTTTTGTCAGTTGTGTTTGGTTCTGTCTTAGGTCTCTGGGTCATTCAGCCTCCGGGTTCTGGCCCTCCAGGCAGCGTCAGGGGTGGGCTCACTATCGTGGTATGGCTCTCAGGCCACTCCCACAATCTCTATGCCACCCTCACAGACTATAGGTCGAAGGTTATGTGGCTGTATTGGTGTCCCAGTCCCTTCACTGGAAGTCTTGCCTGGCCACAGGAGATGGCCAGTTCAGGCTACATATCCCCTATTGCTAGGAATCTTAGCTGGGGTCATCCTTGTAGATTCCTGAGAATATCCCTTACACTAGATTTCTACCTGATCGCAAAATGCTACCCATTTCCAGTCATCTCAGTACTCTGCCCATCACTCACCCCACCTGATCCCCCATGTTCCCATCCCTGCCCATCTTGAGTCTACTCAAGAGATATATTTCCCCTTCTCAGGGAGATCCAAATGTCCCCCTTTGATCCCTCCTTGTTACCTAGCCTCTCTGGGTCTGTGGATTGCTGCATGGCTATCCTTCATTTTACAGTTATTATCTACTTTTAAGTGCATACATACCATGTTTGTCTTTCTGGGTCTACTCGGGATGATTTTTTTCTAGTTTCATCTATTTGTCTGCAAATTTCATGATGTTATTGTTTTTAGCGGCTGAGTGATACTTCATTTGTAGAAATGTACCACGTTTTCTTTATCCATTCTTCAGTTGAGGAACATCTAGGTTGTTACTAGGTTCTGGCTATTATGAATAATGCTGCAATGAACATAGTTGAGCAAATGCCTTTGTGGTGTGGCAGAACATTCTTTGTGTATATGCCTAAGAGTGGTATAGCTGGGTCTTGATTTGCAATTAGAAGCCTCTTAGTTTGTTATTTAGAAGCAGGTTTCACTGCAGAGCTCAAGTTGGCTCAACCTCACTTACCATCTAGATCAACTTTGAATTTGTTGTGATCCTCCTGACTCAACTTCTTGAGGGCTAGGATAACAGGTATATTCCACCATGCCCAGCCAAAGAAACTTCTTTAATCAATTTACTTATCTACCCCCACATCTGCATGTGTGTATGCTTTTGAGCCACTGTACACACTTGGAAGTCAGAAGACAATTTTTGTGGCTTTGCTTCCTTCCTTCCACTTATGCGTAAGATATAGGAAATCCAACTCAGGTTGTCGAACTTGCATGGCAGTTGCTTCTGAGCTGTCTCTCTGGCCACCCATGGATGCTTCTTCCAGTGTCCTCTCCTGTGCATTCTGTGATGTTAGGATGCAGGGCTCACACTGGTTAGTGAAGATGGGCAGCTGAATGACTGAACTATAAGTGTTCTTGTCTTCTTCCATTTATGAATTTAGTGGGGTAGAGGTCCTGTGCCAAAGCACTTCTGTGGAGGTCTGAGAACAACTGGTTCTCCCCTTCCACCATGTAGATCCAGGAGATCAAACTTCTGGTTAATCATCAGAATGAGCAGCAAGTGCCTTTACCCAAAGTCATCTCTCCATCCTGTCAAATTTTCCTTATGTCTCTGATGAGCTGTATGTTAGTCAGGTCACTCATCTTGCCTGTGCCTTACCTTCAGTTCCTTCATTTGTGAACAAGATGCTTGCTTGATTGCTTGGTTTTGGGTTTGTTTTTGATAGAACTGTGCAGGTAATTAAATGCCATATGCATGCCATATATGCTGATCTCGGTAACTCTCATAGCAGATATACACTCGTTACTGGTGCTATACAAGAAGGCAAAGAAAACAATGTGTTTAACAAACTGTCCTGCTGTTCACACTCAAGGGAACTGTCATAATCCAAAGAACAAATTTCAAGTGACTCTTTTTCAAAGAGCAAATACCATAGCAAAGTCCAAGGACTATATTCAAAAGATATCTGCAGCATAGCAAAACAGAACACGGGGTCAGGTGGTCTCTCCCATCATGCATTGGTTTCATCATCTGTGAGGTATGGTACAGACCAAGAACTGTTCAAGAATTAATGTGACATGTGCAGAGCATGCTTGAGGCAACAAATAATGGTATCAGTTATTACGTTAGTGACTATTATTTGAAATTTATGATTGAAAACAGAAAGATCAAAGAAGCTGCAAAGCCCACATCTGTTTTTAACATGACCTCCTTGATATGTGGGCACTGATTTTTCCCAGAAAGCTTTTCCCTATGTGTCTTCTTTCATTTACTCATGTGCATAGCTCATTATTTTCTAAAGCAATGAAGCAGAGATGGCTAGAAATATCATCTGTATTTTACTCAAGTATTAGGAGATTCTCAGGCTTTCAGCTCTGTTGCAAACACAACCCAAGTGTTACAGCATGTGTTAGCAACAGAATTTCCTTGCTGTAGAACATTGAAATTTGAGAGAGAAATGTATTTGGTTCACAAGACGTTACTGGCCATGACTGTGGCCAATTGTAGTCATCGACCCAAAGAACTCTTACAGAGTATTTTCTGGCATGAAAGGAAAAACACATGTCCCTTAAAAATAGACATGATCCAGGGGTACAGAGTGGCATACCCATTTAATACCAAAACTTGAGAAGCAGCAGAGATACATGGATCTCTGTGAGTTCAAGGCCAGCCTGATCTATATAGTCAGGACTACATCATTAGTGAGAACCTATCTAAAAATAAATAAGTAAATAAACACACAACCAAATGTACTCGGTTTCATTCTCATTTCTATGGTTGGAGAGCAGTGTTGGGAGATGCCTACATTCCTTGCCTGGCCCTGGAACCTAGAGATGGGGATTTGTTAAAGTGTAGTTGAGTCTCAGTTTCAAAGAGAGAGTTTTAAAAGTTCCTAAGTCTTACAGGATATACATATCAAAGTTTGGGATAAAAATACCACTGTGTTACATATTTTCTATCTATCTCCTGCACACATACACATACACACACACACACACACACACACACACACACACACACACACACTTTAATTGTATTTCCTTTAAATTATAACTAGCTTGTCTCTAATGGGGAGAGATGGAGACAGAGAGAGAGAGAAAGTTAGAGAGAGAATCAGTAGGTTAACATAAAAGTTATTTCTTTAGGAAAGAAACATAGCAATTATCCAAACACATCAAACATATCAAAAACCCAAAAGAACAACAAACCAGTTAAAATTATATCATTCTTACAGGTAAAAATATAACAAAATGTGAACAGTAGCCATCTTTGCATGGGAGAACTGATTTTTTCTTCTGTTTCTCCATACTGTCTCAACTTTTGTGATATATAGATATAGATATTCATTAAGCAAACATTTTAATATTTCTAGAATTATTGTAGTAAGTGATAGTGCTTTTCTGGGAAAAAAAATGTGTTTCTACCTAGTGAGTCACATAGTCACCCCGTGCATGCCATTTTTCTGTTAGCAGATGTCCCCTGTGCATGGTAGCCTACTTATAAGCAAGTGTCACAAGGTCATGCTACATCTTACAAGATCTGGGGGTGCAGCTCAGTGGTAGAGAGGTTGTCTAGCATGTATAGGCTATGTGAGGCCCTAGGTTCAATCTCTAGTGCACAAAGGCAAACAAACATGCAGTCATCGTCTGTTTCTAGGGTGTGTTGACAGTAGTCAGGGATGCTCCAATGGGGTTGTCTAGTTTCAGCTCCTGCTTAAGGCCTAGGTCTGAAACAGTTTGCTGTCACGGATGGTTTACTTTTTCAGAGAGTTCTCCAACACAGGCTGCCACATATTCTTATTGCCGTAATACCATATTCCCTCTACCCAGAGTCACCATTGCACACTCGGGGGTTTCCTTCGCTTTGGTCTATGCAATGTTTACTGGATATTCTTTTAAGCAATTGAGATTACATTATGCCTACGTGCCTGTGTTTGCATATGTATGCATTAAATATGCTGGACATTTTCTAATGTCATTCCAAACATTCATTAAAATTTTTGTGCCTGTGTAGCAATACACATGTTGTAATTTATTCAAATAACTTTCTTTCTGGGAATTTAGCTTCCTATGAGCCCAGGTTTTGTTAATGTAAACAACGCCATGATGAACACAACTCCTACTTCATTATTTTCTTGGTATATAAATTAGAATTAGTGGGTCAGAGAACTTCAACACTTAAAAACTTTTAGAGTCAAAGAAACACAAGGCTGAATGGTCATGGGAGGCAAGTCTGTATACATCAAACTGAGAAATGGAAAAAACACATCCTACATGCTTACAAACACTGGAATTTATCTTTTCCACCTTTGACAGAGAGTTTGCAAACATCAGTCCTTTCATATTATTTTAATTTACATTTCTTTGATTATTCCTGAGATGAAACTCTTTTTCATGTTTATTGCAGATTGTCTATACTCTTAATTTTCTGTTCATGGCCCTTGTCCATTTTTCTGCTGATTTCTTTTTTTCAATTCATGAAAGATTCATCCCCATTAATGATATTAGGCCTCTGTCGCTTCTATTAAAAATATTTCCTTCATGCTACTTTCCTTTCATTTTTTAATGAATATTCGGTTGTGCAGAAATTTGTTTTTCTGTAGTCTGTTGACTGATCTCTCACACCATGATTTCTTCCCTTTGTGGTCCTTAGAAGTATGCCTGTATTCAGAAAAAAAGATCCCCACTGTCAGCATTTTTCAGGTTTTTTTTTTTTAAATATAAAAATAAGATTGTGAGTGGTGGCCAAGATGAGACACATGAATTTCAGCAAGAGGCTCTTTCTGCCTCTTGCATCATAAGGACCCACGGAGCACTGGCTTCCCAGGGTGCTCAGCAGCGGTTGGAAGACACAGACATAGAGTGTAAAAGTCAGCCAGGGTTTGCTAAAACTCCAGGACTGGGAATTTTGAGTATAGGCGTGGGCGTTTGTGCAGCAAGTGTGGTTTTAAGTGTTAGAAACTGGTAAGTCCTTTGACAGCAGGGTCTCTGTAAATGCTGATGCTGAAAAGTCAGCCAGCCAGACTATGTCTGTAAGTCTTCCTCCAGTGAGCCCTGGCTGCTGGAGAAATACGGCTGTGGTCTCAGGTGGCAGAGAGGAAGCTAAATGATTTTGAATTAGATCTTTGCTTTGGGTCACATCTGAAGAAGTCTATTTTCCTTTTCCATTGTACGGTGGTGGTTTTCAGTTTGGCGTGCTGCACACTGTAGATTGTACACACGGCTGGGAGGGATACTGCACAGGAGCCCCAAAATAGGCCACAGATCAGAAGCAGTCTGCATTGCCAGTTTCTAGATGTGCCACCTTGAGCCTCAGTTCCCTTACCTATAAAATGGGTATAATAGGAATCAGCTTTCATAGATCTTGTAGAGAACAATACACTACATACAGCATGAAGACTCAGAAAATGACTTGATTCTCATTGTTTTTAAGGTTCAAACAACAAAGGGTTGTGTTTCCCATTTCTCCCTGAATGCTTACCATGTGCCCCAAACTACAGAAGCTTGATTTTTGCCCATCAAAATAAATTTTCATTTTGATCTGAAAATAAAAAAGAAAGATTTCTTTAAATTGTTCTTCAAACTGGTGCCCTTGTAGTTATATGAAAAATCAGGACTAGAGAGGTGGCTCACTGAGTAAAAACACTTGTTATAGAAACCAGAGAACCAGAGTTCAAATCCCCAGTCCCCCGATTTTTTCAAAGCTAGCCATGGTTGACTCTAGTGAGGCCTGTTACCCCAACATTGATAGGCAGAGATGGACAGATCCCAAGAGCTCATTAGCCAGCCCACCCAGCCGAAAAAACAAGCTCTGGGTTCAGTAGACACGCCCATCTCAGACATAAGGTGGAAAGTGCTAGAAGGAGACATCCAATGTTCTTCTCTGGCTTTCACATATGCATGCATGCCTGCATACATCAACCACACATGTACCCACCACATACCCCATTCACACCACATATGCACACACCAAAAATAAATCAATAACTATGGCATAATAATGTAATCATCTCTTACTCTGCATTCAATGACTTGACTTATTTAAAAAAGTAAAATTATAAGAAACCCAACTGCCCTGGAAAACCGGGTATGTGTCCACACACAGAACCCAGTGCCCTTCCTACTGAGATGCCTCAGACCTTCCTGGAGCTAACCCTGCAGTTCACTGATTTGCGTATTACCTGAGTATCAATTGCATGTTGAGTAATATCTGTTTGGTATTTCACTATCAAGAGTTACTTTGTTAAGGAAGGTGTGCATAACTAATAGCTCTTTAAACCAATGCTTACGAATCTTTGCCACGTTGCGTATGAAGGAGAAATTAAGTCAGAGTAAAATAACGGGGAAGCAAAGCTGCAGCTCTTCCCTGAGTACCTACTAAGTGCCAGGCACTGCACCGGTGCCCTTGGCAGGAGAGAAGGTCTGTAGGGTAGAGCAGGAGGGAGGCAAGAGTGCCAAAGCCACCAACTTTGCTATTCCAGTTTGACTGCATTGGGAGGAGGATACAAAACTGGGATCTTTCCAATGGCAATGTCAGATGTGCAGTATCATTTAACCCCTTGTCTCCTTCTAAATGCTTTAAGTCAGTGGCTCTCAACCTTCCTAATGCTGTGACCCTTTCACACAGTTCCTCACGTTGTGGTGACCCCCAACCATAAAATTATTCTGTTTCTACTTTATAAGTGTAATTTTGCTACTGTTATGAATTGTAATGTAAATATCTGAAAAGTAGGATTTCTGATATGAGATCCTAGAGGGGTCGCAACCCACAGGTTGAGAACCACCTCTTTAAGTGCTAGTGTTAGAATCCTGAGATATCCATGAATTTGATTTATGTGGCACATGGGAAAGGCAGTACAATTTAAAAATCAAAAACAGAAGACCCATTAGGCTCCTGTCTAGATGTACAGAGCTGTGATGGTGCAGGGTCCCCAGGGTACCAGGAATGAAGGCAGTGAGGACAAGTGCTCACCCTTCCAATCCCCCAATCCCAGGAGGAGTCTCAGGATGCCTGCACTGTAACATGGGTAAGGATAGGTCTCAGTGACCTACAGCCAGGAACAGTAGGAGGAAGAAGGGGGAATGTGAGGGCCCTTTGTGAATCTTTGAGAAGCAGGAGAAGAGCCCCCACCTTTGCTTCCTCTTCAAGCACCATTAAAACAGCGAAGTGGGGGTGCAATTGTCAGTATGCATCGGGCCCTCTAGCACAGAATTACCCGTGAGTTCTTCCACATCGTGCAGATGCCCCTAGTTTCTTCTTGTCTGTACACATTACTAATGGGCAAGTGAGGACCGGTGCACCTGACCTATCTTTATCTGAGATGGATGAGCAGTGCCTTAAAGAGATAGACCCTATGTGAGGGTAAGCATGGTGTGTAAGGAGACAAACAGATTCTTCTTAAAACACTGAAAGTCTGTGTTGTTGTCTGTCATGCCCCTGGCAGTTAAGAAGCCTTGTTCTCTAGAGACTAGAATAATGTAGTATGTATAGATTTGCTCATGAAATTGTTATGTTGGGCATACTAGGTTTAAATGGGCCATCAACACAGATCATGCTTACACATTTAGTCACTTAATTCACTTTTAAAAACTCTTTAGTGTGACAGGCTAGGGATATAGACCAGTTTTTGCAGTGTTTGTTTAGTATGCATGAAGCTCTGGGTTCAATTCCTAGAACCACATAAACTGGGTGTGGTTTTGCACACCTGTAATCACAATACTGGGAAGGTAGAGGCAAGAAGAGCTCCTCATCTACATAGCAAGTTCAAGGCCAGCATTAAGCTATGTGAGATCCTCTTCAAAAAACAAACAAACCAAATAGAAAGTTGAGAAGATGGGTCAGTGGGTAAGGTGCCTGACACATGACTCACTATGAGGGTTGGAGTTTGGATCCCTAATTCCCATATAAAAGCCAGGTATGACAGTGCCTGCCTGTAACCCCAGCTCTGAAGGGTGAGGGTTGGAGGTCAGAGACAGGACAATCCCTGGAGCTAACTGTCCAGTAAATCTACCTGAATCAGTGAGCTCCAGGTTTAGTGAAGAGACACTGTCTTGGAAAATGAAGGTGGAGAGTAATAGAGTAAGAAACAGAATGCCGGTCTCTGGACTCCATACTTATGTACATAGATGTGTGAGCTCCCCCACAACATGAACATGTCCACAGGAACCACACACAATAAAAATAAAATTTAGTGTGTGTAGCTGGATAGTTTCTCTCCAGGTCCCAAAAAGCTCCCGCAGTCCCGCAGCCCGCTTATAAAATAATTACTCAGATGCTTATATTACTTATAAACTATATGGCCATGGCAGGCTTCTTGCTATCTGTTCTTATATCTTAAATTAGCCCATTTCTATAAATCTATACCTTTCCACATGGCTCGTGGCTTGCCGGTATCTTACATCATGCTTCTCCTCGTGGCGACTGGCAGCATCTCCCTGCCTCAGCCTTCCACTTCCCAGAATTCTCCTCCCTCTTTGTGCTGCCTATACTTCCTGCCTGTCTACTGGCCAATCAGCATTTTATTTATCAATCAATCATAGCAACATATATTTACAGACTATAGGACATTCCACAGCAAGTGTGGCCACAGACACTTGAGGGAAGCCTTCATCTTTTGGTCCACACCTGTGCAGACCCAGTGGACACACAGCAAAGACGACCACAGTGATGCCTAATGTCCCAGGGTTGTTTGGAGTTTGTTTCTTGGCAAATGTTGAACAGACTGAGACGTGCTTATTTCACAAATGCTAAATTGGGGGCAAAGTAGAATTTTAAAAAATGCTTTTCTGGAGACAACTTTCGCCACATGGAACCTGGTCTAATCATCCTCACTCTGAAATACATATTTCTTCTGACACACAGCTGCAAATTATGCTCCCACCCTCCCACCCTCACCCCGAAAAATCTAGCAGTGTAGAAATGCTTCCATATGCTCAAAGTTTATTTCCCCATTCTTGCTGAGGAGAAATAAAGAAAAATGGAGCTGAGTAGCCAGCTTGCATATACGAGTAAACACTTAGCTGCAGTGCATGTAGAGGGAGTAATAGCAGTCCTCAGAGTTGTCTATAAATAACACTCCAAGCCTGCAAGCTTTTGCTCGCTGTGTGTTGAAGTTTTGCTATAGAATGGCCTATTAACTGGAATGTAATTATAACTTACATAGGTTACAGAAATAGTTTAAGACCATGAAGTTCAAAGTTCCCAAACTGGGAAATACTGAAGCAGGAACTATGGATAGTGTTACCTGCCAATGTATCACATAAGGAACCTATAATCTAGCTTCTACTCTGGCCTATGTAGTTGAGCATTCTTGTCTGGACCACCAAATATCTCCGGGTTTCAATAACACCAATGAAATACAAAGATAATAATTAATGTCTGTATTGCAAAATTAACATGCAATTGAGTAAGCAAAAGTCTTTTGCCTCCAACACTAAACTGAGGTTGGCAATATTGGTGCAGGAATGGGAAGGCCTCAGGAACAATGCATGCCCCTTGAATGCTGTCTGAAGCTTACTTTTGGCACCACTCCCCAAATTTGCTGGTTCTTAGTTTTAGATCTGTCATCTGTATTGTGGAGTCCCCAACCATGCTGATCTCCTCTCACTTAGATGATGTATATGGAAGGATCTAGCAAACCACAAACCACTCCAAAAGAACCATGTCTACATTTGATCTCCAGGGTGTCCTCAGGATTTGGCATAGTGGTACATTGTAAATACACCATAAATATTTGTGGAATGAAAAAAAAAGCAAGAGAATGAGTCAACTCTCACATTTCTCATTGCCTCATGCCTTGGGCAGAGCCGAGTGATAGGCTCTTTCCAAATGCAAGTCTCTGTCTGATGCAGTTAGGCAAGTTATTGCTTTTTTTGGTTGTATCTCTAAAGGAACATGTCACCAAGTTTGTCTTTTCTTCTCCATTCTTATTTGAAAATGAAGTCAGAGGGGGCAGGGAATGTGTTTCTCAGCAAGCCTTGCAATTTTCCCGGAGACACACAACTGCTAAGGTATACAGCCAAAAGCAGAACTCAGGTCAGGCTGACACAAAGTTTGCCATTTTGTGTTCTCCTGTGTAAATCCACTTACCAACCTGAAGTTCAACCGCTATCCAAGGACACCCTGGAACTTGCCACCTTCTCTTTTGAGCATGGTGTTCACTGGAGGCCCAAAGGACACGCTGTCAGGGCTCCCAGGCCTGCTCCTAATGGGTAGGGATTGTAATTATTTACCTTCTGCATGACTGTAGGTAAGAAGTCATCAGTGGCTCCACATTGAGAAATAATTCCAGAAAGAAATAATACACTTATATCAAACATTTGGATCATGTTTAATATAATTTCCTAATCAAAGTTTGTTGATAGGGATAAAAGCTATCACACCCTGGCCCTTTCCTTTCAGTATCTATAAGAGCTAGAAAAACTCCCGGATTGATGTTATATTCAATTGAACATGTGCAAAGTCATCTTAAACCAGGCATGGGGGTAGGTATCCATAATGCCAGATACTCAGGAAGCTGAGGCAGGGAGGTTGCAAGTTTAGCTCCAGCCTGGGCTATCTAGTATGTCTAAGTCCAGCCTAGGCAACTAGCACGCAAGACTCCATCTCCAAATAAAAAAAGAAAAGAAAAAAGCCGGGTATGGAGTATTTGCCTAGCAGAAGTAGATCCTGGGCCAAATAATAACAACAACAACAACAATAATAATAATAATAATAATAATATTAATAATAATCCAGTCTCCAAACCATTCCCTGCTCTATCTTAAAGACCTTGGCAAACAAATAATCCTGTTTTGTAGTGAGAGGTGTTTCTGTGTCCTGCCCAGCTCTGCGGTTGGGATGAATCTCTCCTACCCACGGTCCCACAGTCACTTATAAAATAATTACTCAGAGGCTTATATTAATTACAAACTGTATGGCCTATGGCTTCAGCTTCCTGCTAGCTAGCTCTTTCATCTTAAATTAACCCATTCCTATTAATCCGTATGTTGCCACGTGGCCGTGGCATTGCTTGTCTGCTGGCATCTTGTTACTCCTTTGGCAGGGGCTGACGTCTCTCTCAATTCTGCCCTTCTCTCAGTGTCTCTACTTGGATCTCCCACCTGGCTGTCAGCTTTCTTGCCACAGGCCAAAACAGCTTTATTTATTATCCAATAGGAGCCACACATATTCACGGCATACAGAAAGACATCCCACAGCACTGTTTCTCCATCTTACCCACAGCCTGAGATATCTCTGTTCACCTAACTAGCAAAGCCAAAACATTTTCCTCTCTGCACAGGCCTGCTTCCTTTGCCAAAGCAGCCTGACTGCCTGAGGGCTTCTGCATTGGCCGTTGGCATGGTTTTCTTCTGCAAAAGAAAAGAAGAAAGTTCACTTCTTGTCACACATGGCTTTGCACTTTAAAACACATTGCATGCAACAGTAACATCATTTCATCTAATTAATGGCTATCTTGCGTAAAGTGCAGAATTCAGCTTAGAATTCTGTGCGCAAAGTAATTGCTGTGGATCTGTGTGCAGAATGTTACTGAAACATACAGTAATGGGAGTTTTGACAATACTGTGCTTTTAAAGCCTTTTAGGAATACCATGGGCATGTCTACGAGAGAGCAGCGTGAAATGAGAGTTTTTAAAATGCTAATATGGGGATAAAATGGAACTGAGCCTTAACCTTTGTCCACATTGGCCAGTGTCACCTTAATCTCTATCTGCTCCTCTGCCTTGACCAGATTTCCTTTCAAAATTTATTCTTTAATCACATGCTGGACACTAGGCATATGATAGTCAACAAGAGAGACACCCTGAAGTCTCCAGAACAACAGGAAAGACTAAGTTGAATAAACAACTATTCATAATGCTGTCTTGCTTGAAAACAAGCAAGTGTAGGAGTGGGACTTGACACGTTCTTCTTGGCCTGGCAAGATGGCTGAGTTAAAGGTGTCTGCCACCAGGTCTGATAGCCCAACTTCAATCCTTGGGACACATATAATAGAGAGAATAGACTCCTGCAAGCTGTCCTCAGACATCCATGTGGACTCTGAGGTGTGCACACGTGAGCCCACGGGCATGTGCACGTACACACACCCTGTAAATAAAACAAAAAAAAAGTTTTTTAAGAAAGTGTTCTTTTCTGGGTCTGTTACAAATTTATCTTGGTGTGGGTAAAGTAGATAGACCTTCTCCATATGAAATGTCCTTCTCTCTTGCCTGCTGAGAGAACTTGATCCCTCAACACAATAGACACTTTTCTGTACTCGATTCCCAAACTATAGTTTAAACCCTTTGTTCTGTGCCTGGCCTCAGTTTCCCCATATGTGGAGCTCTGTAATAGTATATATAACTCCTAGGGTTGCCTGAAAGGGCTAAAAGGATTCATCATATAAAAAGCATTTAAAATGACACCTAAGTTCCTGCGGAACACTGGCTCTTGCTATAACTGTACCAGTTAGTGATTGATGCTGAAATGATGTGCTTAATACATCTACCTTCTTCATTAGTTCATAAATTCTTGTATTGTAGGGCCCTTCATTTTTCTGCCCCTTCACTCTAGCACTGGCATAGGATTTGATCCTTTAGTAGATACCTGTCTCAGTTGCTTTTTCCTATTGTTGTGATTAAATGCTGTGACAAAAGCAACTTATGGGGGGAATGCTTTATTTTGGCTCTCAGTTCATGATATAGTCCATTATGTCAGAGAAGTCAAGACAGCTGGGGCATGAAGTAGTTCACCACACTATGTTCACAGACGAGAGCAAGGGATGTGTGCTCAACTAGCTTTCCCTAGTCTACTCAGTCCAGGATTTTCCCACCCAATTCCTGCTCACAATGAAAATGAGTCTATTCCCATCAATTATCATAATCAAGCTAATCCACCACAGGTCCATTTCCCAGATGATTCTAGAATCTGTCAAGTACACAATGAACATGAACCATCGCAATGTCTAAGTAGCATTCTTTAAAAGAACCCAAGAGTGGTGAATCCCCAGAAGCATAATGCACCTACTGCATGCCCGAATCAAGAAAATTTAAGTCAAAATATTCTAGAAACTCGGCTTATGCCCCTCCTATATAACTTCATTCCCTTTCTTAGTAAATAACAAGAGAAAAGAAAGTACATGTGTCTTTTGGACAATCATTCGACATGCTCTTTGGTTCTTTTATGTTCTGTGGACAACACAGAAAATAACTGACATTTCTTTAGATGCAGCCATCATATTCTTTGAACAGGAAAACAATATCATGTCTCTCTTACTTTAATTATGCCAAGCTGCATGCATGAGAGTCACATAACACAATGCAATTTTATTTTGTCAAATGCTTTTCATCTGGAGCTACATCCCCAGCATTCAAGTTAAATAATAAATAATGCAACACAAGCTGTTGGGGGTGGGGAAGAGGGGAATTAAATAACAAAAAACAAAGGAGGAAAGCTGTGAGCATAAAGAACCTCTCATCAGATTTCAGAGGACCTCCAACTCCCCATCCCGATTTGATTGTTTGGTGATGGTCTAGACAGAGGAGTGGGGATGGAGATGCGGTTTAGCAAATGGCTTAAACAATGGCTCTGATTTCATGGTAGTGACATGGTTGCACCACATTTGTCATGCTGCCTTGGCGCTCTTGATACACCATACAGGTTTTTTACTCAGAAGGACGTGTCTCAACAGACAAAATGCTGCACCCCCACCTCCCCACCCATATTCTCTGGGGAGAGTCAGAATGGCAGTGAGAGTTTTGATGGGCACTGTGGCATCCACCCATGTCTAAAAGGGAGAGAGGGAGAGGCCTGCTGTTGTGATGTGGAGAAGAAACATTTCTTGATATTCGCCAGGTGCCAGGCATTACCATAAGGGCTTCGGAAGCTCACAGGCTCGGAGCCGAATCGGCTGCCTGTCTTGTACTGCCCCAGAGCTGAGGAATGTTTACATTTTTTCTTTTTCTTAAAAATTAGTTTTAAAATTAAGGATGATACACATACAAAGAATATGCAACTTTGGGAGATACTTCAGGTGACAGAATGATTACCTAGCTAGCATGCTTGAAGCCCTGACCTCAGTCCCTAGAAGAGGAGGTAGAGGGAGGAGGATCAGAAGTTCAAGGCTCTCCCTGGCTATGTAAGGAGCACAAGGTCAGCCTGGAACACATGAAGCCCTCTCTCAGAAGCAGAAGAGGGAGAGGAAGAAAATGAAGAAATCATATGTGCTCTGCAAAGCCTAACATGCTTCCCTTCTTCCCCAGCAGGCTGCTGAGCCTCCTGGCGCACTAATGCAGACTGTGCAATAATGTGAGCACTTATTATCCCCACTGTATAATTTGGACATTAGGTCTTAGAAAGGATAAGTACTTACCTGACAGCATGCAGCCCATCCATGTGACTGCCAGCCAGAGATCATGAGCACACATTCTTCCAGGACTTGAGTGAAATAGACAGCTAGTGTGGACCTAGCCGGGCTGGGCCATCGCAGAGGGCACACACCCCTTACAAAAGGTGACCACAACTTCCTTGTGCATATTGAGGCAGTAAACACAGGGGGTAGAAGTCTCTTGAACATACTAATTTCCTTCCCTTCAGATACATAAAAAATAATAAATTGAGGCTGGGGTGATGGCTCAGTCAATAAAATGCTTTCCACACAAGCACGAAGACCTTAGTGTGGTCCCTGAGAACCCACGAGAAAAAGGCAGGCACAGAGAGCCTAGGCTGAGACCCGGATGTAGTAGCGCATATCAGCTGAGTTCCCAGACATCACCTGCTTCACCTACCTGGAAGTTGACTCCAGTTGACTTGCTTTCAGGCTAGTGAATTCCAGGAGAGTTGTTCCAGTAGTCAAAGAAAGAGAAAGATGCCAGAAAGCAAATATTGTATTTCCAGGGCATAGGCTGTAGGCAGCAGCTGACAGAGTTGCTCTCACAAGGGGACTTCTGAGACCCAAGGTACAGAAAGGACTGCCTGGGGTCTTAGGTGACACCGAGTGGGAGAGTCTTCTGCACATTGTGACATGGCACAACCCTGCTGAGAGCCTCAGGGAAACATTTCCACAACTTGAGGTTTTAAAAAATTATTACATGTAGTGTGTGTGTGTGTGTGTGTGTGTGTGTGTGTATGTGTGTGTGTGTGTGTGTGTGTGTGTGTGTGTGTGTGTGTACATGTTTGCCACTGCACACATGTGAAAATCAGAAGACAACTTGTGGGAGTTGGGTCTTTCTTTCTGTCATGTATGGCCCAGGAATCAAACTTAGGTCATCAGCTTCGACAACAAGCCCCTTTTATCCACTGAGCCATCTTTCTAGTCCCACATCTAGGACTTGTATATTGCAGGACACCTGCTTAGAATGCCAGTGTTGTGTTCAGAGAAGGCACTAGAATCAGTGTGAACAGTAAATGGCAGGGATACCCTTGGCTCACTCCAAATGCAACAGCAAGCAGTCAGACTCTTGCCCTCAGGCAGTGGGAGGACCATAGTAGAATCTTGCCAAGGATTCCTGAGCAAGGGCATGGTGAAGGCAGAGGTGCCCAAGGTCCTGGATATGCACACAGGAAGAGACAGAGAGCACATCATGGTTCTTATGGTCTCATTTGTACCTTTGGGAAACAAGATTCCATGCAATGTGGCATCCCTAGAGGTCATTAGAGATCACTCCTTGAAATGTGGTCTTTGTGGTATCATCACAGGCATCACCTCGGAGCTAGCTGGATATGCAGACTGTATCCCCATACCAGGCCTGCTGAGCCTATACTATAACAAGATATAATTATATCTGCACTATAACAAGATCCTCAGTGATTTGTGACAGCATTAAAGTTTGAGAAGCTCTGGTCTTGGTTGTAGGAGTAATCACTCTGGGGTAAACTAGACACTGTAACCTTATGACCTGCCATGTCTTTGTTGTGTGATATTGACTTAAAGACTTAACATCTCTGTGCTGCAGCTTGTTCCTATCTGAAACAAAAACAGATGTACAGAGATGTATAGAGGATAAAAACGCATGTACAGAGATGTCATGGTGTTCAATTGAGATAACATTGGAAGCCCCTTGACACATAATAGGCTCCTGCTAAATATCAACTAATGTCATCACCATCATCACCACTATTATCTTTTGTAGTCTAGGAGATTTCATTAAACATTTCTAAAGGAGAATCCTCTCATTCCATGTAGGCCTCATTTTCTCTATCAATAACCCAATAAGCTCTGCCACCAATATAGCCAGAAATGGCAATATTGCAAATATATGTGACTGGCATTTATAGATATTCTTCAAAAAAGTAGGAACTAAGATTACAGACCAGGCATCACCTTGGTTGTTCTCACAACCAGAAGTAGACAGACATGGTTATCTGTACTGCAAAGCTGGGGACACTAAGGACTCCCACCCAACTACCCCACAGCCTGGGAATGGTATAGAGAGCCATGAGGCTACTAAGAAAGGGTCTCAAGATCCCTGGAGTAGCTGAGGGAAGTGTCTGCCTTCATCTCCTGCTGCTCATGAGGGTGAAACACATCTTCAATTCTTGTTTCTTCCATAATAACTACTAACTGAAGAAAGAAATGTTTAAAAAGACACGTAACCACAAAGGGAAGAAAGAGCCAAGAAGCCACTAGCATTTTAGAACTACAGCTGATGAACAAGAACTGGCTCAGCAGACCTGAGGATGTGGATCCTAAGCTCCTCGTCGGAAAAGCTTGTGGGTATCTGACTGTCACCACAGAGCTCTAGGGATCCTGGGAAATGGGAAGCTTAAGTTGCCTCTAGCAACAGTGGTCTGGGAAGAGTTGAAAATGGAAAGGCTGATGGATAGCATCAGCTCAACCCCTCTATTCCACTCTCCTGGGTGTCTGCCCCCTCAACACAGTGCACTTAATATTCTTGGGAATCCAGGAATCAGTCTAATATAGGAAGATACAATGTGCTGCAGAAAGGAACAGAGATAAGTAAATTCTGTCTACAATGGTCAAACCAACTCTCCATCCCTCCCCCATGCTAGGTCTCCAGAAAACCCTAGCAGCCAGTTTCCTCCTCCCTTGGAACTTTCTAAAGAAACTGAGAGGCCTGTTATGGAATCACCAAGGAAATTACCTGGCCAGAGCATCCTATGACAAAACCTACCAGCAACAAGTCTTGCTCTAACATCTTGGATTATCCAACTGTTTTTTGGTTGATTACGCATGTACACACATAGACCATCTAAACATGAGCATAGTCATTAATGTACACAGGCAAACTAAAAAAACAAAAACAAAAACAAAATAACTTTTCAAAAAGTCTCAAAGTTTGTGCTTCTCTCTCTCTCTCTCCCCATCCCCCCTCTCCCCTCTCTCATTTAACAAGAACTGGCTCAGCAGTTAAAACATTTAAACATTTTTTTCTTAATAACCTCAAATTTAGTCGCCCCCCTCCAAAGAAACAAAACCTTTATCCCATACCCATGCTTATGCAAGCAACTCTAATTAACCTCAGTAGATTACTTAAAAAAAAAAAAGCATGAAAATAAGAGGGACATGTTGGGAAAGAGAGGGTTCCGGAGTGAATGGGAGTGAGTAAGAGAGAATTAGGGTTGAATATAGCAATCATCCATTATATATGTGTATGGAATTGTCAAACAGTACATAAACAAACCTCAAAGAACACAGAGACATGATGAGAGCAGCATTGATAGAACAGCTCATAAAAAAATTGTTAGCATCCATAGAGATGCTGCATGCATGAAACAAGGAGGCTATTTAAAGAGAAGCATTCAAACAGCTAAAACAGGCTCCTGACAATTAAAACCATAACAGCAGAAGTGAAAATGTCAACAGAAGGGTTAGTAGGCAAAACTGACAAAATCTCCCAGAAGTAGAACAGAAAGACAAGAATATGGAAAATAAGGAGAAGATTTAAAAATGAGAGACTGCCTGTAAGTTCTAATATTTGAATACGGTGAATTTTGGAAACAGAGAAGAATTATCGGTGAAATAATCAAAGCAAATCTTAGATTTTCTAGAGTGAAAAAAAATCCAGTAATAGCTTAGCACAGTGGATGAAATTGGGCCCACAGCAAGCATCTTGTGACCTCTGAAATGGAGATCTAGGAAATGGGGCC